GAGCCCCACATGGGGTGTAGAGATTATTTTTTTTTATGATTTTATGTATTTATTTGACAGAGAGAGACACAGCGAGAGAGGGAACACAAGCAGGGGGAGTGGAAGAGGGAGAAGCAGGCTTCCTGCCAAGCAGGGAGCCCGATGCGGGGGCTCCATCCCAGGACCCTGTGATCATGACCTGAGCCAGAGGCAGATGCCTAACAACTGAGCCACCCAGGGACCCCTAGAGATTACTTAAAAATAAAATTTAGGGGCACCTGGATCACTCGATTGGTTAAGTGTCTGGCTCAGGTCATGATCTCAAGGCCAGTGAAACTGAGCCCTGCATGGGGGGAGCTGAGCTGGAGCCCGCTTGAGATTCTCTCTGCCCCTCCCCCAAAAAGATTTTTTGAAAATAATAAAAAAAATAAATTACAAGTCCCGAGGCCCCAAGACTACATGGCTGAGGAGTGCCAAAAGCTAGGTCTACCTTATGCTTACTCGCCAGACTCAGCTAAAACAGGCACTGGGGAGAGGCCCCATTCCAGCTCAACCCTCCCCAGCGCTATCATGGGGCGTCTTCAGGGTTCATTGTCTCTCAGCGCCCATGCCCCACGGCCTAGCCCTTTCTCCTCACAGGGGCTCTCACATCTTATTAGCAGCCACCGCATCCTGTTCCCCCATAGAGCCCCCAAATGAGTCCTCAAGGCTACCACTAAGTCATCATCTTTTCTCCTCCACCAGCTTCAGGCCTGTCCTATGGGAAACCCACTCTGTTCCGCGGGAAAGACCCTGAGCAAGCAGTTCCGTGTAGGGACTTGAGAAAGAGGTGAACGAGGCCCCGCGGGGCACCGCCTGCCGAGCGGGAATCCCTGCCCTAACCGCTGGCGCCCCTCGAGGGGAGGGGTGAGGGCGGAGGTGGTTCTGCGGCGGCATCTGTCCCAGGCGGGCGGGAAGCTGCTGCATTAAATTGTAAAATCGATTTATTGACCGGCAGGTGCGAGCAGCGGCAGATGGAGAGTAGCGCTGCCGGGGCGCATCTGCGGGGAGCGGCGGCATCGATCCTGGCCCCCCTCCGAAACCCGTCCGTCCCGGTCCTTGCTCGTCGGCTCGCTCCCAATTGCAGGGCCAAGGTCCGCGAAACTGCGGCGCCTGAGCGGCTAGGGAAACTCGGCTCCCTTCCCCTCCCCCCCTCCTGGCCTCAGGGCCTCGGGCTGCGCCCCCACGGCTGGCACGCCCTGCCAGCCCCACTGCCCCAGTTGGCACGCGGCGGGCCGGGCTGACGCGTGGCAGCGCCCTGCGGCAGATGAGGCACGCGCCGGCCTCATTTCAATGTGAATGGATCGAAAGGAGCAGCCATGTGGCAGCAACAGTTTGCAAATCTCCCCGCCTTCTGTGCAGCTCCGGGGCCGCGGCTCCCTGCACGTGGCCCCTTCTCCGCAGCGACCGCAGCGGCGCCCCTCAAGGCTTAAGCGCCCCGCCCAAGCCAGGCCCGCTCCCCCCGCCCCTGGCCTGCCCGACGGGCTCCGTGGCCCGACCTCCGCCGCGCTCTTACCTGGCGGCACAGTTTGCCCCGCCGAGAACGGGAGTGGGGGTGGGCGAAACGATGCTGGAAGCCTCATAGCTGCGCCGCCGACTGGGGGGGGAGGGGCGAGTAGGCTACCCGGTAGTGGAGGGGTCCCGAGGCTCTACACGGCCCGGGTGGTACGCCAATAAACCCGGGGTCAGCTTATGGGCGCGGCTGGAAGACAACCTTGGTGCTTTACGGCCCCAGGTGCGGGTTCTACCTGCTGGGGAGCTCTGTGCAGGGGCCAGGAAGAGGACAACAGAAGCAGAAAGCCCCTGCAAGGGAGGCTGTGGGCCTTGCACGAAGCCAGGCCTGGACCCTGCTCCTGACGTTGTAGGTGCGAGTGGGGATGAGGACCCGTGGACCTTTAGAGGGCCCACAGTCAGTCCAGGGGAGTCCAGGTCGGTTGAACCTTGCATCCATGCTCCCTCTCGAGGGCATCGCCGAGTGTCTGCATAGGGGCAGCGTCAGCAGATGTCCAGGTGGGTCCAACCCACTGTGATTTGCGGCCTCCAATGGCCTCACAGCCTCCTGCTCTTGGTAGCCCCAGGACACATGTTGGGCTCTTCTGGTCTCTCGTGGGAGAAAAAGGGAGGAGTCCCAGCTGTGCACACTTGCATTTCAGTTCTGGGCCAGCATCGGGACCCTTCCTCACTCAGCAAATGTGGTGAAAGAGGGACTCCAGCCGACTGGAGGGCCTGTGGGTACTCAGGACCGCAGCATCTTAGCATAATGAATTTCTGGGACAGCACCCACATGGCAAATAGATGCTTCATAAATGCCTTTTGATGGCGAGGAGAATTTAACCCTTTCCTCCTCAAAAAGGATTTCTAGGGGCGCCTGGGTGGCTCAGTCGTTAAGCGTCTGCCTTCGGCTCAGGTCAT